AAGCACAGAACCGACATTATTTAGTTCTTAGTTTTCCTATTTTCAACAAAAGTACGACGACTTTTACAGAATAGCCTCGATACGTCTTTACTCTAAAATGTCTTAAACACCGTGTTTAAAACAAATAGTGTTATTACACTCTAAAAACTGTTTATCAATTAAAAACTTGCTATGACTTAGTTAACATGTTTTTAAGCTGAACATTTATGTGTCCAGATTCTAAACATCAATATTCAAAGTTGAACAGTATCCATCAATGCTCTAAATAAACATGCATGTGAATAGAAACTGACGGCAAGTGTTTAGAAAAAGTGTTAAATTGCAGTTTTAGCAGTGTATTGTTTAGCTTGCAATAATTCGCAATAGAGTGTTTAAATTGCTGTAGACTTAGATATAGATGGGCTACCTTTCAGTTTGTTTATACTTGCTGATTTTGTTTACACTTGCTGATTTTGTTTCACTTTGCGAATCAAATAAATCCCGAGAGTAGTTATGTACAGTCTCTTGAAGGATCTTGTGTGCAGATACGAAGCATTTATACTATGGGTGCAAAAACCAAAGTGTTTGGTTTGTTAGACTGCATTCAAAGATGTACTGTCGACGTCTGTGCTCAAACGAATTCTATTTTTTATTTTCTCCTAACAATTTTCAACTTGTATTTACATTTTAACCCCCCCCCCCCAAAAATGAAAAGCTTTTTCGATTGACCATCTAAAAAAAGACTTTTTATTCTGGAAATGTTTGCGCACAAACAGATCCGCTCTGCGAGTAGACTGGTTCCCGATCCGTCCATTATCGATTCTGATAGCGGACGGGAACCACTCTGCCCAGCAATAACCAAATTAATATCGCACCAAAAATTATACATGTGTAGCAATGAGTGTTCTATTACTAAATGTACGCGGATTATTTTCTTTCGATGTATCATTCAAAAGTCAATAACTGTTGTATTGCTAGACAGTTATCAACTTTAAACAGATTCTTTATAGACCAAATTGACATCTCGAAGGAGCACTAAATTGTGACACAGAATTTTGGATAAGCAAACCACGTGCTGCTGTAAGCTTGTCGTTTATTGGCTCTGTTTATCAAAAGAAAAAGCATTGTTTATGAGAGTTTGCGCATGCGCGAGTGAAATGCTCACTTGGCCTATTATTTGGGTGAAACACGAAAATAGCGCACACAGTCAATTTGAATCAGTTGGGAAAATCAATGACTATTCCACGTGTATAGTAGCTGCTGAACTAAAAGTTTTCTTTATTTCTAGTACAAAAAGTGTTGCTTATCAAAACACTTTACTCGCCAAAAGTCATGTGGCATTATTGCTTTTTATTGCTTACATTTCTATATTGCATGCAGAGTTTTAACATCGAGAACTGATCGAAGAAGGGGATGAAAAAATACAAAAAAATCCCTCGCAATGAACATCATTCTGATACGAACGAAACCTCAAAAATCTGTTTTTAAAAATTTATAAGCACTCACGCATGAAATTGTGCATTTTCCGCTCATTAACGGGATCAGCTCTCGAAACTGGATAAATTGTTTTCTTTTGATATAAATGTTTCCATTAGTAAACGTATCTATACTAACATTGAAACACTGCAATAAATAAAAGCCGCTGCATCTTATCATTGCCTTTAATTGATATTAGGTTGTCATACTTAATTGTTAAGGGAATAAATGTGTGCTCCGGAGGTTTTTATCACTCTGTTTAATACCACTTAGAGTCTGGGTGCTGATAATTACCCGAGCCGGAGGCGAGGGTAATTATTAGCACCCAGACTCTAAGTGGTATTAAACAGAGTGATAAATACCGACGGAGTACATATTTATTCCCATTCATAAATACCTTTTCGGTAAAAAAAAATCATATAATTCGTTCAAAACATCCCGATTTTGTTCAACAAATTCACTTTATGCTTTTTGAAACATCCCTCCTGCAAAATAATGGAGTGTTCAGCTGGCGAGTAAGATGAAAACAACCCTTTTATGGAGATTGACGCGCGCGTATCATGTTCTACGCGATGTCGCGCAGAACGCACCTGGCGCGTTGCGTTTTGAATTTAGAACTATAAAATTCTAACTCCCTGGTAGTGTTGCGCATGCCTACGTGAGGATTGTGAACGTTCAACCAATGAAACGATAAGAGGCACTGGATTTTTAGGAGTCCACATTTTATTGTGACACTGGAAAAGTGTTTAAGACCAGCTAGCCATGTCTTTATCATCCGTTTAATACCGGTCACGTGACGGGCTCTCGACCAATAGGAATGGCTAAACTGTCTGAGGTATTTATGAATATTTATTTAAACTACATGTATTGTTCAGGATTGGATATTTTATGACTCCTGAAACCTTGCATAGCATAGATAACGATTCATATTTGGACATGATAGCTAGTGCATAATTTCATTGCTTCAGTCCTTTGGTCTTTTAATGTGTTGACCGTGATGTTAACTCCTGATCCTATGGCCTACCCCATCCCTCTTGAAAAAACGTGGGACTTCAATGCCTGAGCTAACCTCCGTTTGGAAACTCCTGGGTCTGTCACTTTTTTTTCTTATGTTTTATTGATAAGCAAAAGCAATATACATTGAAAAACAGAAACAGGAATCACAAAAAATTAAGGTAGTTAAAGAACAATATACAATAATTAGGAGAAATATTTAGTAAAAACAGCACATGTTTAAAGAGAGAAGCTGTGGAGAAGAGTTAAGTGACAAGCAAATGTTACAATTACAAAAAAAAATAATATTGAAATTAGACTTTAAATTTCCATTTCTTAAAACGAAGAGCAAGGATTTGATTTTTTCATTGCAATCCTGTATTCCACATTATGTTGATTTTTTAAGAATAATCCTAACCCAGTAAAGGAGGGACTTTGAGTTGAAATTTACACCTATCAAAATATATTAAGCACAAAGAAAAACACAAGTCAAAAATGTGTTATAGGGAACTCCAAATAAGATCTCAAATTTCCCAATTTCTACAGAGTCGTTTAGTTTTTTTAGTTTTTTTTTTTTTATTAATGAAACAAAGGAGGTCTGACAGGATTGGTGTGACACATTCACATGAAGTGAAGTTTCAGGATATGTTCCACAAAAAGAACAGCTTGGGGAATCTTTTCTGCTAATTTTGAAAAGAAAATGATTAAAGGTAATGGCCCCATGGAACATCTTAAAATAAAGGTTTCTGTCCGGTTTCAATAGTACATTTAAAATTCCGTGTAAGAATCGCCTCTAAATCTTCATTCTCTAAATTGATATTTAACGCACTTTTCCAAATGGTATTTTGCTTTTCCGAAATTAATTTATCGATTATAATGTTAGTATACTTAGGGATATTCTTGATTTTAAGATATTTGTAATATCATCACCCTCTATTATTATGTTTATCACAAAACCATTCCTGAGGGCTACAATAAGAAGGGTGTAAAACTCTCTTTTGTCTTTGTAAGAAATCATATTCAATTACATTGTATTAGTTCCTGAAATGAAAAAAAAAACATTGGGTTTTGGCTCATTCAATAGATTCTTACAGTGATAATACCTTTCCCACCCTACCACTCTTGGAAAAATAAGTATGACTTAAACGTTTTGAACGAATATACGTATTGAACCACAGAATTGCCAAAAGGAAAAATCACTTAATTCATGGCCCACGACAAACCTTTTACTTAAAGAAGTGCCAAGTCCTAACATAGTCATCAACCTGAGTATGTTTAAGCTGACCCAAAAGATTCGCAGGAGGATTCGCAGTAACCCAAACTATTTTCTGAGCTTGACAAAAAAATAAAAGAATCTATCATACGAAGACCCCTGAGAAAGTATCCATGTACATGATTTTCCTGTTCATTTCGTTATTTCCATGCTTCAAGATGCATTTGAACAATAGTTTTTCTTTTTCTTTAAAAGGGATTTAAATACATAGAACAAAAACGACAGATAAAGTAACCGAGGCAACAGGAGGGATTTTATCACACAAATTTCCCCAATTAAGGACAGATATCTTGATCGCCAACTATTGAGGGTCTGCTCGATGTTTTTAAGTTTAATTTTATAATTCAAATCAAACAAACATTTTAAGTTCAAAGAGAAATTAATGCCCACAATTTTACAGTTAGACCCTACATTCAGGAACAGTTCAAGGTGCGCAGGTTCAGTTTCTATTGACTAATCATTATCTCCCATTATCAAAATAGGCCGGCAGGCGTGTTTGTGAACTTGTATGCATGTTTTTTTTGTGCGATTTCATTGGGATTATCATTTAAACTTGAGCACTGTTTAAATGGACGTAGCTAGGACCATTGGTATTTGCCCAGAAACAAAGCTACAATGAGAAAAAAACCGTGCTCAAAGTGAAGGAAGGATGGTATCAAATACCCAGTGCAATTTTCCGACTGAAATGATATTCAGAAAAAAAACAAGTCACCGAAGGTGGTTTTAATAACGTGTGCCAGGGAGTCGTTGACACCATCATACGCATATAAATTTAGTTTAGATTGCACGGCGAAGTACGTTGCACAAACGTGGTCTGCTGTGTTTATTCAGTGGTCAATGCTGCAGGTTGGGGTTCGAGTCCCAGTCATTTTACCTTCTTCTTTTTGAAAATCTTTACCGAATGTGACTAGGTAATTTGACTAATTTGACAAACTTTACAAATTTCTCAATCTCCGCTGACAAACAGGTGGAAGCTTTAGCGTCGGAAAAGCTAAACGTTTTCATTGTCAAATTTGTTTGAACAGTCACAATAAAAAAAATCCTGGCATTTCCGACACTCGGAAACTATCGCAAGGACAATTTAGCTCACTGAGTGCAAGCGTGTACAGCTAACCCGCATAAAGTCAATTTTGCAAGATCACAGACATATTTAAACTGGAATAAATTGCTACAGGAACATCTGGATTATCTGCAAGGTCACACCACCAAGTCTAGATTGATCAGCAAAGCTTTCAACAAGACGCTACAGGTTGAAAGACGATGTAACTTCACTTACTCGATGGCTACGAGCATCCCAGACACTTGTACTGATAGTACGGAGACCAAACAGTGTCCGATATGCTTGGCAGAGATCACTGGTGACGAAGTAGTCCTGGACAAATGCAAACATCGATTCTGTAAATCTTGCATCGCTCGAGCATTGAAGAGCAACTACAGATGTCCTGTATGCCGCAAGGAGTGCGGTGAGCCCAGAGGGAACCAGCCCAATGGAACGATGAAGAGTGAGACTGCCTCTTACTTTCACCTCCCTGGTTATCCAGACGAGGATGTTATCATTATACGGTATTACGTACTGAGTGGGATGCAAACAGTAAGATTTTGTTGATGGTTGTCACACACAGTCCATTAAATCAATAACAAAAATATTTTGGAAACAAATGGTAACGGTGTTTTAAGCATAAATCTTACTATCGTTGAACAATGCATAATTGGAGCATTTGGATTTGTAAGTGATTCAATGTGCACGGACGTGTATTACTTAATTACATTTTATACTTGTAAAATTAGGTGGTATTTAAATGTTTGCACATGCAATCACCGATGAAAATGGTTCGTCCACAATGTACTGTGATACCCGTGAGAACATGACTCTCTGATGAGCTCGAAGACCTTATAAAGACCTCTTACACACTGTCAAAAACTGTATACAGGTACAAACGTTTTCATCAAATATTCAAGAATGTCATACTAAAGATATATAGCCCAGGGAATTGTAATGCTCTTTCGAATACATATTTCGCTAAATCTTTGTGAAAATTATATATGTGGGCTAATTAATCTAGTGGGATTTAGTCTCAATTTACTGACACCCCCCCCCCGTGCCCTCCCCCTTCCTAGCGACGCCATGCTTTCAACTATAGGCTGATCATCCCAACCCAGGCAGCCCTTTTACGGGCATCACACGCACCGCATTTTTACCTGACAACCAAGAAGGCAAGGAGGTTCTTTGCCTCCTTGAGATTCGAAGCACGCCTTGTGTTCACGGTCGGGCAGTCGGCGACCAGCAGTCAAGAAAACATTGTCACCTAGCTGGAATGACATTCATCATAAAACCAGCCTGTCTGGCAGACTGTATAGTTGAAAAATATTGGCCAATGTCAACAAAATAATGTCATCATGAAGGAACACGACAAGGCAAGCCTAATCAAGCTGGTCACAGAGTTCACAATATTTTATTAAACTGATTCAAAATGGCTATTTAGTAATTTGTCGTGCGTTTTGTGTATCCAAGTGGCCGAATTGGCGTTAAGAGGTAGGCTAGTCCTAAATCATTCTCAGGCTAATAAGATACTTAACACGCACACAATATATTTGTTTGTAAGTAATTATGCCACAGATCTTCTTTATTCGCCACAACATGACCGGATATACCATTGTAAACTGGCAACGGAATGCATTAAAGTGGGGCACACCAGACCATGGGTTAACTAGACGCAGGCATGAATAGGGCACACCAGGCCCACCATATATATATATATTTCACACCAGACCATGATCATTAGGGCACACCAGAACCTGGTACCTAGGGCACACCAGACCCTGTCACAATTAGGGCCCACCAGACCCTGATAAAGAGGGCACACCAGACCCATTACATAATGGATGTAACACCATAAATAGCTATAACATGTACAAAAATGGCAAAACACCAGGCCACACAATTAAATTGTTAAAGGCGAAAAGGCATTAACACCGATTAAGAAAACTTGAATGAAAAAAAAGAGAAAAATAACTATTAAACCATCCAGGCACAGGGTGTCCCCCCCCCCTTTACAGCACCAGGAGGTACAGGGAGAAATGGCCCCTAGTGAACCTAAAGGGAGCTTTTACAGTGCTGATCAAAACAAATTGAAACTATACAGTGCGAGTCAAAAGAACTATACACTTTTAAAATTGGCCATAGTTTTATTCTGTAGCAATAAAGATAAGATATTTTCATATGTACTTTTAGAGTAACTCTTCTTGCTTCTTTTGGTGACATTTTCACTGCATTAGTTTTCATGCATGACTGCACAATTAAAGGGGTCGGGTGAAATCTGACTTTCGCCAACTGGTCAGGGCTGGATAAGAAAAAAAAACAATCTAAAAGAACACAACCATTGTCTAACAAAGAGACAAAAGAAGATTTCATTAGCTTTTAAACTTCGCGTTAATTTTATTTAAATTTTTTTAATATATTAAAAAGGCAATTAAATTCCACGGTGTCTTAGTCCTTAACATGGCCACCATCTCGTTCAGTGAACATAGCTGGGCTCCGCGCATCATTCCTGCAACAGCACGGCGAATCACCTCCCTGTCTTGTCTGAGAATGTCAATTTCACGAGTTATCCTTTCCTGGAAGTCATCCAGATCTGCCTACTTAAACTCTTGCAAGCAAGATTCACAAATCTGAACTGATTATGCATTCCATGACCAAAACCAAGACCATGGTTGTGTTCTTTTAAATTTCTCATTCTTATCCAGCCCTGACTAGTTGGCGCAAGTCAGATTTTATCCGACCCCTTTAGAGGAATTAGAGTAATTACTCTAAAAGTACATATGGAAATATCTTATCTATATTACTAAAAGAAAAAAAAAACTATGGCCAATTTTAAAAGTGTATAGTTTTTTTTAGACTCACATTGTAGTATTGACATTGTATGATATAGGGCAATTAATACCGAATGGAATAAACAACATATGGGCTGTTGTGATAGCACAATGACACATTTTAACTTGTGTCGATCAAATTCCCGCCATACGCGGCCCAAGGGAAGACAATAGCATTTAGATAATTACCTTTTATTAGGGAACTACATGAGCCAACCACTATAAGTTGGATACTAACAGATGAATTCCTGCGTTCGACAAATAATACAAAACAAAAATACCCTATCATACCGAAACAAGTGCATGGTTGTCCAATGAAACTAGGGGATGAATAACGTGACCATGGGCCAATAATGTCATTATGGAGGAACACGACAAGGCAAGCCTAACAAAGCTAGTCCCAGAGGCTAAGGAGAAAACACGAGAAAGTGTGGACTCATAATTTAAGAATTCACTCGGCGCAAAGCGCCGAGTGGATTCGTAAATTAAGAATCCACACTTGCGAGTGTATTTCTAGTGTTCATTCGTTTTGAACGTACGCAGGACGGGCATTCACGTCTCAGCCAATGAAAAGCTTTGCTTGCCACGCTCCACCCACTAGTTACCGCCCACCGTGACCGTCCACTGCCTTACTTTTATTATTCAAATTGTTCGCTGCTTCTATTAATCACGATAACAATGCAAGAGGATTCCAAGTCGTTGAGCGGTACAAATTTCAACATAACCAAAGAACATTGTAAGTGGCAGGATCGGGAACCATAAAGTGGAGTTTTATAGTGCTGTGCCTATAGGCGACATATGACGTGATGAAGAAAAGCACTGGAAATGTTGTACATGTACGCGTATACGTGTATAGGATACTATAGTGCACGTACAACTCAAACTCATGTTGAAATCTTTCGACAAAGTTTGTCAACCCTTTTTCCTGTCAATAAAAGTAAACACAAACAAATCTCTGTTTCTTTGAAGCTCTATCGTATAATCTCCGATAAATAAAAACTGAAATTAACAAAATAAAAGACTTGTTATCGATTATATCACATGTATTATAAATAAATATTTATAAATAAAAATTTGAAGGACTTGGCGAAACATGGGTCAGCTTAGTTTGTTGATTGTAGTTTCAGGTCAATGTACTCTTTAAACGGTTTTCAGCAGTTTTATTCGTTTTTAGTTATGAAAAGAATATGATAAAAATACGGTACATACAAATATTTCTTTTTATTGGAAATTCAGTTAAGGTTAATTTTAAACGTAATGAGCGAAACTTTTTTTTCAGCGTCGTTAAACATTTGTGACTCTATAAACTAATGATTTACTCCATAAACCTCTTCTTTGTTTATAAACTTATGGCGATATGCATTTAAAACAGGTGCCCTCTCCTCATCATTGATATTCACACGGGCACATTTGTCGACCTTCCCAATTTCGTGCCTCACTTTCGTCTTGCTTTCAGAGTGACAGTACCCGAAGGTACGTGGCCTTTAGCTTTAACAGGCATACAAATGTATATGTCTTGTTAATCTGAATACTGACTGTACCCTGCGTAACATTTATAATCCTATGTACCGTTTTTATTGTTTTTCTAAGTAGCGCTCGTACCCTGCCTTAGCCTTATTATTTCCTTGCGTTCCGAGTGTATTGTTAATCTGAATACTGACTGTTCCCTACGTAAGCCTTTTTAATCCTACATAGTTTCTATTGTAGCGCTGGTACCCTGCCTTAGCCTTATTCTTTCCTTACGTGCCAAGTGTATTGTAAATCTGAATACTGACTGTACCCTATACGTAAGCCCTTATAATAGTGTCCATTGTAGCGCTCGTACCCTGCCTTAGCCTTATTCTTTCCTTGCGTTTCAAGTCTATTGTTAATCTGAATACTGACTGTACCCTACGTAAGCCATTATAATGGTGTCTATAGCACTCGTACTCTGCCTTAGCCCTTTTCTTTCCTTACATTCCAAGTGTATTGTTAATCTGAATACTGACTGTATGCTGTACCCTACGTAAGCCTTCAGAATAGTCTCTATTGTAGCGCAATCTTGGTAAAGGTGCAGGCAAACAAAATATGCCCGTGCAGAGAAAACCCATAAACAGAGTGTTGAAATAATTCCAAAGAAAAGCCAGCTCTTCGTCGAGAAAAAAAATCAACAGGGGGTACACTTATCAATAACAGAAAGTAATAACATAGAAAGGAACATGACTGTGGCCACGGGATCCATGACTAAAGGCAGTATGTACAGTAGGCTTAAATGCTGAGAGGACTCCCTGCAGTTTGAATTCATATACCTGCACTAAACGAATTACGTGCGTAATTCTGTTTGCTTTACCGACTAGATTTTGTTCAAAACACATCATGTACAATGTACATGTACTTGCAAAATTGCTTCGATAGAGAGATTCAGCAGGTATTGTGTCAGACAGCTTTCTTTGTAAGAGATCCTCTTTTGTTATTTAGATTTTTGTACCGCTCAACGAGTTGGAATCCTCTTGCATACTAGCAAACAATTTGAATAATAAAAGTAAGGCTGTGGACGGTCACGGTGGGCGGTAACTGTGGGTGGAGCGTGGCAAGCAAAGCTCTCCATTGGCTGAAACGTAAATGCCCGTCTTGCGTACGTTCAAAACGAATGAACACTGTTTCGACTTAAACCATTGCGTCAAAAGAAGTATTGGCATTCACAGTGAGTGGGT